CGGCTATCACTTCCTTATGTCCGGTCGTGATGGTCAAGCGGATTAAGGCGTCCCTGTACATACCAGTTGTGGGAGTATGGGTTCGAGTCACTTCTGGGGTGTGAGTTTTCAGTTGTATATAGTCCTGGGGACCATTCAGGCTTGTTTGCATTTGTGTTCCTCACGTGTGCCCCAAAGAATGAGGTGATTTGATAAAATGCTATGCCCAAGATTACCATCCGAGTGCCGGCGGGGAAGTGGTTCATATAGCCTCGGCTATCACTTCCTTATGTCCGGTCGTGATGGTCAAGCGGATTAAGGCGTCCCTGTACATACCAGTTGTGGGAGTATGGGTTCGAGTCACTTCTGGGGTGTGAGTTTTCAGTTGTATATAGTCCTGTGGACCATTCAGGCTTGTTTGCATTTGTGTTCCTCACGTGTGCCCCAAAGAATGAGGTGATTTGATAAAATGCTATGCCCAAGATTACCATCCGAGTGCCGGCGGGGAAGTGGTTCATATAGCCTCGGCTATCACTTCCTTATGTCCGGTCGTGATGGTCAAGCGGATTAAGGCGTCCCTGTACATACCAGTTGTGGGAGTATGGGTTCGAGTCACTTCTGGGGTGTGAGTTTTCAGTTGTATATAGTCCTGGGGACCATTCAGGCTTGTTTGCATTTGTGTTCCTCACGTGTGCCCCAAAGAATGAGGTGATTTGATAAAATGCTATGCCCAAGATTACCATCCGAGTGCCGGCGGGGAAGTGGTTCATATAGCCTCGGCTATCACTTCCTTATGTCCGGTCGTGATGGTCAAGCGGATTAAGGCGTCCCTGTACATACCAGTTGTGGGAGTATGGGTTCGAGTCACTTCTGGGGTGTGAGTTTTCAGTTGTATATAGTCCTGGGGACCATTCAGGCTTGTTTGCATTTGTGTTCCTCACGTGTGCCCCAAAGAATGAGGTGATTTGATAAAATGCTATGCCCAAGATTACCATCCGAGTGCCGGCGGGGAAGTGGTTCATATAGCCTCGGCTATCACTTCCTTATGTCCGGTCGTGATGGTCAAGCGGATTAAGGCGTCCCTGTACATACCAGTTGTGGGAGTATGGGTTCGAGTCACTTCTGGGGTGTGAGTTTTCAGTTGTATATAGTCCTGGGGACCATTCAGGCTTGTTTGCATTTGTGTTCCTCACGTGTGCCCCAAAGAATGAGGTGATTTGATAAAATGCTATGCCCAAGATTACCATCCGAGTGCCGGCGGGGAAGTGGTTCATATAGCCTCGGCTATCACTTCCTTATGTCCGGTCGTGATGGTCAAGCGGATTAAGGCGTCCCTGTACATACCAGTTGTGGGAGTATGGGTTCGAGTCACTTCTGGGGTGTGAGTTTTCAGTTGTATATAGTCCTGGGGACCATTCAGGCTTGTTTGCATTTGTGTTCCTCACGTGTGCCCCAAAGAATGAGGTGATTTGATAAAATGCTATGCCCAAGATTACCATCCGAGTGCCGGCGGGGAAGTGGTTCATATAGCCTCGGCTATCACTTCCTTATGTCCGGTCGTGATGGTCAAGCGGATTAAGGCGTCCCTGTACATACCAGTTGTGGGAGTATGGGTTCGAGTCACTTCTGGGGTGTGAGTTTTCAGTTGTATATAGTCCTGGGGACCATTCAGGCTTGTTTGCATTTGTGTTCCTCACGTGTGCCCCAAAGAATGAGGTGATTTGATAAAATGCTATGCCCAAGATTACCATCCGAGTGCCGGCGGGGAAGTGGTTCATATAGCCTCGGCTATCACTTCCTTATGTCCGGTCGTGATGGTCAAGCGGATTAAGGCGTCCCTGTACATACCAGTTGTGGGAGTATGGGTTCGAGTCACTTCTGGGGTGTGAGTTTTCAGTTGTATATAGTCCTGGGGACCATTCAGGCTTGTTTGCATTTGTGTTCCTCACGTGTGCCCCAAAGAATGAGGTGATTTGATAAAATGCTATGCCCAAGATTACCATCCGAGTGCCGGCGGGGAAGTGGTTCATATAGCCTCGGCTATCACTTCCTTATGTCCGGTCGTGATGGTCAAGCGGATTAAGGCGTCCCTGTACATACCAGTTGTGGGAGTATGGGTTCGAGTCACTTCTGGGGTGTGAGTTTTCAGTTGTATATAGTCCTGGGGACCATTCAGGCTTGTTTGCATATATATATATATATATATATATATATATATATATATATATATATATATATATATATATATATATATATGTATGTCGTACCTAGTAGCCAGAACGCAATTCTCAGCCTACTATGCATGGCCCGATTTGCCTAATAAGCGAAGTTTTCCTGAAATAATATATTTTCTCTATTTTTTTTTCTTATGAAATGATAAAGCTACCCATTTCATTATGTATGAGGTCAATTTTTTTCATTAGAGTTAAATTTAACGTAGATATATGACCGAACCTAACCAACCCTACCTAACCTAACCTAACCTATCTTTATAGGTTAGGTTGAGTTAGGTAGCGGAAAAAGTTAGGTTAGGTTAGGTTAGGTAGGTTAGATAGTCGAAAAAACATTAATTCATGAAAACTTGGCTTATTAGCCAAATCGGGCCTTGCATAGTAGGCCAAGAAGTGAGTTCTGGCTATTAGGTACGACATATATATATATATATATATATATATATATATATATATATATATATATAATGTCGTACCTAATAGCCAGAACTCACTTCTTGGCCTACTATGCAAGGCCCGATTTGGCTAATAAGCCAAGTTTTCATGAATTAATGTTTTTTCGACTATCTAACCTACCTAACCTAACCTAACCTATATATATATATATATATAGGTTAGATAGATAGATATATATAGATAGATATATATATATATATATATATATATATATATATATATATATATATATATATATATATATATATATTAATACTTTTGTTTTGTAGAGTTATCTTTTGTTTTGTAGAGAATTTATTTGCGAATTTTTTGGTACCAGAATGAATATTATATCACATAAACTTCTATGAGTAAAAAAAACAAATACACAAAGTATGTTTGGGGGTGTGGCGAGCGTGTGGCAGTGGGTTCCCTTTAGCCGTTGATATATCCAACACGTGGGAAATATTTGTATGTGTTATGTATATGTCTGTGTAGGGAATTTTACTGCGATCACTGTCATATAAATTATAAAATGTTTCAACAAGTATAAACATGACAAACATCAAACGAACGAAAACAATGCGTTCGTTTCTGCCGCGAACGCATACTGAGAAACGTGGTTCTATATTTGGCGCTTCTCTTACACATGCTTTGTACAAATGTTATACAGTTCATCTTATAGAAAATTTTATTGCGAACACATTGGTATAAAAAAGAAATACGTACATAGAAAAGTAGGGTCAGGAAACGTATAAACTTTCCAAGCATGATTTCCCCCCTGTGTTTTCGCCAGTGCGCTCGCGGCTAACTACTCTCCACTTCACACACTCTTGCGGGTGGTCAATTACCTATATTAAACATTCATATGCATATGTCCGTGTAGAGAGTTTTATTGCGATTCCAATGATACCAAAATTAGCGATGTAGGACAACTGTAGGCTTCGCAACCATTAAGAGAGTGGAAACATTTTGTTGCTGTTTGGCGCTCTCGGCGAGTGATCTGCATAGTTTTTTATTTGGTGTTGATACTCCTTATGCTTGGGCGGCATTTTATAGGTATGCTCTTATAGACAATTTCATTGCGAACACAGTGATACCAAATTTAAATACGTGCGCCTTCAATTATTGTCAGGACAGTCAAAAGAGTGTACACTTTTTCGGTCTTACCGCGTAGGCGCGCGAAGTGCCGAAAGCATCTGGGGTATTGTTTTTTTTTGAGCGCCGAGAGCGCAAAAGTGTTAAGTCACTGCACATCCTCTCATGTGTATTTTATATATATAAAATGCTGAACTGTAATGTCAATCCTGACCTTAAAAGCTTCCTAGAAGGTTGTAACAGATCCCATGAGCACCACACCAGAAACAAATACCTATTTGATATTCCAAGAGTACAACTTACTCAAACTAGAAATGCTTTACAAATCAAGGGACCTCGAATATGGAATGACCTTCCCAATTATGTTAAAGACTGTACCTCTCCCAACCAGTTTAAGATAAAAACTAAGTACCACTTAATTAACTCAATGTAACCTACCTCACCCCTAAATGTCAACCCATGTCTACGATTTTAAACTGCTGTTTGTTGACCAAATTGTATTTTTGTTTTTTTCTGCCATGTTTCTCCCCCCCCCTTTTTGTTCATTTTTTTCTGATTTTTTCTCAACACAATTTATACTTTAATCTCAATTAGTATTAAGTTTTAGTCTTGGTGTTTTTCCTGCCCGAAATGCTTTGCGTAATAGTGGCATTGTATGTACTAGCTCTGTCTATAAATCCATCAACTTTTGTATTTCACCTTGTATGTATGTACTTTACCTGAATAAATATTTGTATTTGTATTCGTATTTGTATATATGCAATGTTTTTCCAGTTGAGGTTTGTAATGATCCTCCTACCTTTCTTGGTGATACCCCCGTCGATGGCAGACATGAATTGACTCTCACAAAGTGGAGTGTTTCATAAGTCATTGTTCCCTTCATCTCAGTTAGGTAACCAGGTTTTGGCTCATGGTTCCTGGTAAGCTCAAAACTCCAGTTAACTGATGCTCTAGACTAATATAATGGACATCAGTTCGTTAGCTTCAGGCAGCCTCTGGGGCTCAACCTAGAAAATGGCATTTCATTACATTCAATGCAGGTTTTTTGTCATGTACACCATGATGTTAGACTTTTTATTAGCTGAGTCGCTTAAGTGGTTAAGTTTTGGTTTGATTGAAGAACTAAAGTACCTAAATGCTCATGAAAAAAAGTTTCATTTAACACCATATTTTTGTTACTCATATAAAGCTGTATTGTGTGTATAATGTTTTAGATATTTTTGCTCTAAATTAACATCATGTGAGATTCTTTAATAGGTATCATTGGCAAAGGATGACTTAGAGATAAATTCACCTATGTATCACCACCCTCGAGGAACACTCTCCGAGTTCAGTCCATACAATTCTGTATCTGGACAACGGCGTTCCAAAGCTTTGGCGAGCAGTATTATGAGGGGTGCTCGTAAGAAAACCTTACGGAATTTGGAATTGCCTGGATTAAATGAGCTGGGCTTAAATCAAATGAGGCCTGAAGAAATTCCAACAGGTATGACTTTACTACTCTTTAGAGCTCAAACTTAGGAAATTGTTTTTATCTATCCTCAAAGAATTTCTGGGAGGGCCCCCCCTCAGTAGCTCTCCAAGCTTGACCACTGGTATTACCAGACATTAGGAAATTGCATAAGACCTTTTTGACACACTGTACCCTATTAGGGGCCAAGATCAGAATCTGCCCTTTTGTAATACCTAAGTGATCTTGAGAGAGTTATGCTTGTGGTATCTCATCTTTCCAGCACTCTGTCTTATAATGCTTGTGCGAGGTGAGGGTAGCTTAAAAATCAAGGATCTTCCCTAAACCAAGGAAACCCCCACCATATTGAATATGTCACCTCACATGGGTCAGCCCTTTATGCCATTTCTGTTATTCCTTTCCTTTGCTTTCATTTCTGAGAAGGTATGCTCCTCTTCCAAGGCACCATTGGGGTAATCTATATAAGCTAGAGAGTCCTCCCAGAAATCTTTTCGGGTGGAGTCTCTCGGTCACTCTACATTCCCATTAGCCTGCATCTTGTTTACCTCCAGGTTCATTCATCTATTACTTCATAAAATTGTTTGCTTTGTTGTGCCTAACCTTTCTGGTGGATTTTTCTTGGTTTTGGGTACATCTTTGATGTACAAGTACCTCTCACCTCATAGAGAAAGAACTAGATTCTTGTCCTGGCTCCCAGTAAGCCAGAGTGGTCTCAGAGGCTCGATGCAATTTCCGAAGTCTTGATAATACCGAGGCTTAAGCTTGGGAAGCTACAGAGAGGCCCAACAAGAAAATGTTTTTCATTACATTCAACATTTTATTTTTTGTTATAGGTAGCATTAAGGATTCTTCTGAGATAAACATCCCAGATAAGATAAGATCAGGATTATTAGTTTGGACAGTTGTTGCTGTAGTTTCAGCTCTGTTTGATAGTTACTGTAGTGCATATTCCCCTTCTTTGGCATCCAGGCCACAAAAGGAGCCCCAGTCAAGATCACAAAGGAGCCACTCCTCAAGGGCTGTACAGAGTGAGGTAGAGTCGGAAGTCCTGGGATCGACATATCAGGGTACATAGATTCCTGCGCTCAGTGCACCACAAAACTGCTGTATAAACAAACAAGGTCATCAGTTTGGTGGGCTCTCCTTAAACTGTCAAATACCTGTGATAGGCAATGTACCCCTACCCAAATCTTACCAATTAAACAGATACTCTAGCCTTGGCTCATGTCATTGGCATCATTTTGGGTGTTGTCCTCACTGGCAGCATTAGATCTCATCACTCAGAACCTTTACACACCACCAGGCCTCCTGCCATACTCGACAGAGACTAGTAACTCAATTTCAGCTAATAGCCTTACCCACATCACTGCATGAATAATTGTTTCCCAATAACTAATGTAATTAATGTGTAGTGTATTCATCTCTCGAGTCAGGCAATTAACCAGAGAGCATGGAGAACAGAAACACACTGGTATATAAAATATAACAGTTAATAATGCAATAATCACTGTACATGGGGAAGAATTTCAGTTCCCCTAGCCCTTGAACACTTCTCACTGGCAAGTGACTGCCAAGAGGATCAAACTAGATCAAACAGGTTATAGTTAAGTAGCCTCATTCACTTCAAAATATCATGGCACTCTACTTGACTAGTAGAACTTAAATCAAAGCTGAATCAAAGCACAGGTTACTACTAATGATAAGAAAACCTTTTGTTACTTTAAATCAAAACTTATGATCACATGGTTCTCCGCAAGCAACTAGGCTTTTGCCTCAAAATCAGATTTTCTGCGGGGGAGCCCCTACGGCTTCCCGGAGCTTATCCAGGCTGATATGCTAATGTCAGACTTTGGCACCAGTCATGTGTATGGAGTTCTATGGGCCTACCGGGGACCACGAGCCAGAACCTAGCCCCCTCTAGAGGGGCAAGGGGAGCACTAGCCTATAGAAATCCCTGTGTAATTGGAAGCATTCTATGTTTGCCATCGACCGGGTTAGGTACCCAGAAAGATAGGTGTCCCAAAACAAACCCCTATTCTGGTGAAAATTGCAACCAAAAGCCGAACGAGTGGATAGAACTCCCCAAACAAAAACGAGCAAACTAGTATGACGTCACCCGTCGTCGTGCCGCTGTCTGTGCAGTCCCCCCCCACCCCCCTCCCCGGGAGGGGGAAGGGGGAGCCGCAGATCCTCGCACTGGCCATCCACCCTTAACCTTCACCTAAGGTTAATGCTAAAGGCTTAGGTTGTGTGCTCTGGCACCAGTGATTTTTCAGCACTGTGTTTCGAGTGTAGTTGCTGTCTTCCAGTGGTGCGACAGCCAGAAGTTACACTACAGTACTCGGGCTGCATGCGCCTAGGGTTACCTTCCTTAGGTGCCCTGTAAGTATTGCCCTTGGGGCTTGAGGTTACCTTGCACAAGTTTCTTGAGTCCTGCCTCTGCTGGGCTGTTTCACTGCTCGGTTTTTCGGCCGCTCTTTTGGTGCTTGGGTGTTTTGTCTCCCTTGTTTACCTTAAGGTAAGAGGCAGTTTGCACTGGTAAGGGGTGCAGGGTGCTGTGCAGCTTGTATTCACTATTTATAGTGGCCAGCTCTGTTCCTTTGGGTATGTTGTACTCTTGCGGGGTTTTGTTTTTCTTTTTGTTTGTGCCTTGTGGGGGGGGGGGGGAATCTGCCTTGCTTGTCCTTTGGTGTTTGACCTAATACGGTTTTCTTCTAGTAGTGCCCCCCCTGCTAGATCCCCGTGAGTGTTCACCTCCCTGAGGTTCAGCTTTAGAAAGTTGCTTGGTAGTTTTGGGCGCCGGTTAGCAGTACCCTGCCTGGGATTCCCCGAGCGTGAGTTCCGTCTGGACGTTGGGAAACCCCAGGGGGGGCACGTGTGTCCAATAGATGTGACCCCAGAGTCCTCCCCTTCCTCGCTTCGTGCAAGTTCGAGTGTTGCTCGGTCCCTATGTCTCAGGGAGACTCAAACCCTGCCTGTTGGGTTGGTGACACTTTCGACCCGGAGTCCTGCGAGTTCTGTTGCTTGCTGGTGACTCGGTTTACCCAGTCCACTGATGATCATCTACAGGTACAGGCGGCGCAGGCGTTGCATGTACGCTTTAGGTTGTTACAACGCGTTCGATTGGTTGCTCACCCAGATGTCCTGAGGCTGCCCCGAGGCTGCCGCCCCCTCGTCCTTCCCCTGTTGTGGTTCATTCTGGTCCCCCCCCCCCTGCTTCCAGCCCCGAGGCGTCTGAGGGTTTCGGAGTCGGGGCAGGGTTCAGATGGACTTGAGACTCGGGCAGTCTCAGGGGATGCCCCTTCCGGTGTGGCATGGAGGCATTCGAGTTCGATCTCCCTGCCGCAGCCTCTGGGTCTGACCAGTGTGCCCCCTTCCATCTGGCTTACACAGCTGCACCGACCTTTTCTTTAGAGGCAGGGGCTTTGGGGATGACTCGGCCCCGGGTCCTGTGGAGGTGGATCCTGGGGCGGGGGAGGGGCTGACTTGGGGGCCATGAGCCCCACTGGACATCGCCTGGGTTTTTTTGCCATCTGAGCGGGGCTTATAGTTACAAGGAGTGGGGGTTCTCTTTTTCCCTCCTCTACGTACGAGTTGGATTTGGTGTCTGCCCCTCCCTGGGTTCGGTTTTGTGTCACATAACCCCCCCCACCCCCCCCCCACCCCCGGGTGCGTCGGGTCCGTTTTTCCGTAGGTTTTCGGCTTACCGCATCCTACCGTCTGCAGTGCGGGCAGCCCTAGCGACTTGCCTCCTGTGTGACCCAGATTATGCCTCGCTTATGGATCCGTCTTCTTTCAGGTTTGGGCCATCGTTCCTATTCTGGGTCCGTTACGAGGTTCTGGAGTCATCCTGGCTGGCGGACTGTCCTGTGTTTGCTTTGGAGGCTTGGCATTCCTTCTGCCGTTCCCGCATGCTTGAGTGGCGCAAGGCTGCGAAGGTGGTTCCATCAGGAACCACCAGTTTCTGGTGGTGGTGGTTCAGGTTTTCACCAGAAAAATTGCCAGAAGACCTGGTGGTTTAGGTTTTCCTGGGGGGCGATCTTGAGCATCTCAATGAGTGCTTGTGTGCCCCAGCCCTTTCTCAGGATGTTGGCATAGTGCAGCTCCATGTGCAGGTTCCCTCCCTTTTGACTGTACCGATTGTGTATCATTTCTCTCCTGGAGCTGTTTTCGGACTGGCTTGCGGAGGATGTTGGGACGCTTGGGGCCGTTCCTGGGTCCGGTGCCTTGTTGAGGTTCTTTGTGCCGATCTTGTGGGATGCGGTTTCCCTGTTTTATACTTCCCAGCTCACGTGTCAGCAGGTGGTGCTGGCCTCCTCTCTGGAATCAGCCTGGGCCCTGGCTCTTAGGATGTCTTCCCCATTTTGTCCTCTTCTTTTTGAGACTTCTGCCGTGGCGCAGTATATACAGGCTCCTTCGGCTTCTTGTTGACCTATGTCTGACTTGTTGGTTCTCCGGGGGTCTAGGGTGGACTTTCCCGGAGGGGTCGTGCCAGGGCTCGGGGTTCCTCTTGTTGAGGTAGGTTACAGGTGCCAGTTTTGGGTCCAGTGCCGCCTTCAGACCCGCCTCCGTTTGGTTGGCGTGGTGTTCACTCTGTGCGAGGTTCTGGGTCTAGTAAGGGGCGCCGGCCCTTTCGCGGTTCACCCCATTGACAGGGCAATGGGTAGAGGCTTGCGCTGTTTGCTCATGCCTAGTCCCACGATTTGTGGGCATTTCAGGTCGTTTCCTTCGGCCTGTGGTGGCATTGGGTGACCCCCTCCTCCTTTGGGGGGTTTGGGGCTGGCAGAGCAGGCTTCTTTCCCTGCGCTCTGTTAGGTCATCTTGGAATGGGTTTGCTCGGGCGTGGTCGAAACAACGACGTCCCTCAGATGGGTTTCCCGTCGGTTCCCAGTCCCGAAATAGGACTGTGCAGACCTGCTGTTCATTCTGGACTTATTCCGTCTGAACCACTGGCTTCATTGCCCCTCCTCTCGGATGACAACGCTATCCCATGTTCGGCTCCTTTTGGCGCTGGGCTCTTGGATGGCGTCTCTGGACCTCAGGGATGCTTATTGGCTTGTCCCGATTCATCCGGGGTTCAGGGAATGGCTTGGTTATGTTGTGAGGCATCAGGGTTACCGCTTTTGTTGACTCCTATTAGGGTTGAACTTGGCACCTCGCGTGTTCACACGCTTTACCGGGTCGTCGTGGCCCGTCTGTGTCTCTTCAGTGTTCGGGTGTTGGCCTACCTCGACGACTGGCTGGCTTGGGCTCCCAGCCGGTCCTCTTTTCTGTTAGCCAGGGATTTGGTTCTTTCCCAGCTTGCTGGGTTCAGGTTCTTGGTGAACTGGAGGAAGTCCCATCTGGTTCCCTCCCTGGTTTGGACGTGGCTGGGTCTTGTGTGGGACTCTCAGACCGCTTCCTTGTCTCTTCCTCCGGAGTCTCTCCTACAGGTGCGGTCCGGCATGCGCCCGTTTCTGGGGGGCTCCCGGGTCACCCGGGTCACCCGGCAGTTGCTCGAGGGTCTGTGGTCTGTGCCGAGCCTGAACTTCGCAATGATGGTCTACCCACCGGGTCGGGTTTGGCATCGTCGGCTGTTCTGTTTCCCTTCTGCCTCTCTCGCGATCATTGGGTTCGGCCCCGGGGGGCCTTGCATCGGCTGCTACATCACCAGCTTCCTCTTTGGGTTTTTCGGGATTCAGTGCCTTGACGCCTGCCCGAGCCCTCACAGGATGCGTTCACGGACATGTCTTCTCTCAGCTGGGGTTTTGTGACCAGTGCTCACAAAGCCGGCCAGGGACAGTGGGGTCCGTCCTTCCGTCGAGCCCACAGCACGGTGCAGGAGTTCGCAGCGGTGTGGTTTGCTCTTCAGAGGGTTCAGGTCGCTTGCGGATCGACGATCTGGTTCCATTCGGACTGCTCCCCGGTGGTTCATTGCCTGAACCAAGGGGGTTGGATGTGGTTTTTAGCTCTTTGGTGCTGGTCGCTTTGGGTGACTCTTCTGCTGAGTTCTCTGGGTTTGGCTCTGGTGTCCAACGTCTTGGCTGATGGCCTGTCTCATCTCATTCCTCTGTCCACGGAATGGACGGTCGACGCCGACTCCTTTCGTTGGCTTTGCCAGACGTCCGGATGCCCCAAGGTGGACCTCTTCATGTCGGCGTGGTCGAGGTGCCTTCCTCTGTATGTGGCGTCCTTCCCCCGACTGCGAGGCCGTTGGGGTCGATGCCTTTTGGCAGGACTGGTCGAGGTGGGGGTTCCTGTACCTTTTTCCCCTGGATCAGCTGTTGCTCCAGGTTTGAACTTGCTTGGAGACTTAGCAGGGAAGAGTCGTCCTCTATGCCCCGTGGTGGCCGGCCCAGCCGTAGTTTCAGGTGTTGTTTGCTCGGTGTCCGGACCTGGAGGTTTTCCCACGGATTTTCCAGCAAATCGGACCTGAGCGTCACGTGGCTGGTTTGATCTTCTCCTCAAGTCTTCATGTATGGTATTTTTTACTTGAGTTTATCATCTTCTCTATGGTGATCAGGTGGCTTCCTTGTTAGTGTCCCACTTCCGGGTTTCTTCTCAACGGCAGTACTGTATGAAGTTTCCTGGCGGTCCTTTCGGTTCTTTTTGCATCTTTGTCATTGTGATTCGCTGTCTGTTAGGGTGGTGTTGTCCTTTCTCTCTTGGTTGTTCCAGGTCCATCATCATATGCCTAACACTGTTGCCTCATATCGTGCGGCACTGGCGAAACTGCTTCAGCATGCTTTCGGTATTCATGTTACTGCTGCACTGTTTCGCAAGTTGTCTCGGGCGTTGTTCTACCTCCGGCCTGCTCATGCGCCGCCTGAGTTGTCCTGGTCATTGGACAGTGCTCTCTTTTCTTTCTTCTCCTCGGTTTGTTGTGGCCTCTTCGGTTCAGGATTGTTTCTCGAAGGCTCTTTTTCTGTTGGCATTGGCCTCTGAGGGTCGGGTCGGAGAGCTTCATGCTCTACTCCGGCGCAGGGGTTTCTGCTCCTTCGGTCATGGCGATAGGTTTGTTTGTCTGCAGCCATCTTCGTCTTTTCTGGCGAAGTATGAGACTGCTGCTTTCTGGAGGGGTCCATGGGTTGTTGATGTATGGTTGTAACCAACTAAACATCAACATCATGATGGCCGGGGTGCATCATGTCTTGTGTCCGGTTGCGGCCCTCCTCCGTTATTTGCGCACCACGGCTTCTGTGTGCGGGGACGCACTTTGGGTTGATCTGGTTTCCCTTCTTCTCTGTTCGCGGGTGCGGGTCTCCCTGGTTGTCCGCAGGATTATTAAGGCTAGCCAGCCTGCGGTTTATCCCTGTGCTCATGATGTTCGTAAGTTCGCTGCTCTTGCTGTCATCTTTGGCAACATGTCCTGGGCTGACATTCAGGCACAGGGGTTTTGGCGGTCGAACAGGGTCCTGGCTGCTCAATATCTTGTGAACCTTCCTGGACCTACTCGGGCCTGTGTCATTTTGGGTTGACGGTTGCAGCCAGTTGTCTCGACTTCGAGTTCAGGAGTGAGCAGCGACCGCCTCCCGGGTAAGTCTCTCTATTTCCTCTGTGGGTAGTTAGCTCTGAGGAGCCATAGGGGCTCCCACCCAGAAAACCATCATTGAATGTAATGAAACGCCATTTTCTGGGCGAGACCCGGAGGCTTCCTGGCATCCCTCCCTTCCCCTAGTCAGCGGTTTTTCGCATGTTTTGATGTTCAGCCTCAGAACTGAAGGGTGGATGGCCAGCGCGAGGGTCTGGGGCTCCCCCTTCCCCCTCCCCGGGAGGGGGACACTTCGCAGACAGCAGTGTGACGACGTGTGATGTCATGCTCGTTTGCTCATTTCTTTTTGGGGAGTTCTATCCACTTGTTCGACTTTTGGTAGCAATTTTCACCAGAATAGGGGTTTGTTTTGGGACACTTACCTTTCTGGGTGCCTGATGCGGTTGATGGCAGACATAGAATGCTTTCAACCACACGGGGGTTTCTATAGGCCATTGCTCCACATGCCTCTCTGAGGGGGGCCTGGTTCTGGCTCGAGGTCCCCGATAGGCCCACAGAACTCCATACACATGACTGATGCCAAAGTCTGACATTAGCATATCAACCTTGATAAGCTCTGGAGAGCCTCCGGGTCTCTCCCAGAAAATGGCGTTTCATTATATTCATCGCTGGTTTTTTAAATAAATTCCATAAATTGTAGTATCAACATGGAAATGTCATAACTCAAAAAATTACTTCAAATGTCACTTGAAGCACATACATAAGCATACATAAAATAAATTCCTCTCTCTTCCTTGGAACATCCTATTACAGAAGGAACAGAATCTGCCTGGTTTTATAGCTGGCATTGTTGCCATAGCTCACTTCCTTTAGAATTATGTAATGTAGACTGTTCCGTCGTCTGTACACTCCTCACTTGCTGTCCTTCCATTCCTGGTGTCTTGTAAGGAATTGCTCTTCCTGCTTTGGCCACGTACTCGTGCTCAGGTTCTCTTGCTGCATACTTGTGTTGACAGAATAATAGAGGGGACAGACTGTAAACAGGTTCTGCCCTCCTTGGCACTGTGGGTAATTGAAGGTACAGTATCACCCATCTCACATTAGAACACTTGGAGAGAAATGACATTTCTCATTCTAATTCTAACATTAGAAACATCAATGTTTCTGCCCGAACACTATATGTATTAGTGGCTTTGCAAGAATGTGAGAACACCAATGTTATATAGGCTCACAACCCAATGTATCTTTTTGTATACTGTATGTATTATGTATACATAACAAAAATTCTCTGAGAGAGTTTTAAGTGTTTAGTTACTCTTATTTGCTAATAATACTAAAGGCAAAATATAAGCAAAACTGTTCAAAAAAATATGATCACTACTATAAATAGTGCCTGATTTATGTCCATCTTTGGGATTTTTAACAGTTGTTCGGATAGCAAAATACTTTTAGATTTTAAGGTTTTCTTTGTTTCTTTTGAGAGTCAGAGATCTACCCAAAAGCAAGGAAAACAAACCAAAAAGATTTTACAAAACAGAACAAGAACAAAATGCATTTTCCAGGTCACACTGTATAGTAATGTTGAAAATAAAATTGAATCTGCATAGATTAGGCATCATATGATGAAATAGTTTATTTCCTAATGATCATAATTTTTTGTCAACAGATGGAAAGTTTTCAGACTCTGAGGAAGACAACAATGCAGTATTGGCTTATCCGGTTCAGGGTCCATCATCGACGCTGGCTCAAGCACTGCAACTTTCTAGCAGTATTGCAACTGCTGTGGTAACTGCTGGTATTGCTAAATCAAAACATGAACTGAATATAAGTGAAGACAGACACAAAGTTAGGGTACAAAGTACACCTGATGATAGAATTTTGTGCATGGAAAATAGTGAATGTGAGAAAACTAAATGTACTACTGAGATTAAGGAAGCACATATGTTGAAAGAAATTAGTAAAACTTCAGTAAGAGATAGTAATAGTGAAGGTTTAATGCAGGATTTTTATAAATGGGCTGAAAATGAAAGTGGAAATAAACATTTACCATCAAAATGTAACAAGGATGAAAACCATTCACCTTGTACCAAAAAGAGTGAGTTAACAAAAATAGAAGACAATAGACAATTGGACTTGGTCGATAACTCCACATTTACTCTGAATGAGTCATGGGATGATTTAGAAAATATTATGTTTCAGAAACTAGACAGGAAACAAATGCTTGAAGCAAGAGCTGCAAGATCTCTCAACATTGCTACAAGACAGTATGTATAGTATTTATTTCTTTCTTTTTGGTCGGGACCTTAATAGCTCCTCAGAGTTTAAGTGCATTTAGAAGTGCAGCAGGATTCCGACCTACTGGGTAGTCTCCCTATGAAATGAGGCAAGCTTGAGTCAGAGATCTACCCAAAAGCAAGGAAAACAAACCAAAACCATTTTACAAAACAGAACAAGATACTGCTTGAAGAAAGAATAAAGTAAAATAGTTCTTGAAGACATAAAAAACCCAGAAAATGGCATTTCATAACATTCAACACTGGTTTTCTGTGGGGAGCCCCTACGGCTCCCTGGAACTTATCAGGCTAATGTATGTTACATTAGATCAGGACATTAGCTAAGGAGTTCAGACCTACCAGGGACCAGTGCCAGAACCTGGCCCCTTCAGAGAGGTTTCAGGGAGCAATGGCCCTGGAAAAACCCCTTGTGGTTTGGGTTTTCCTTATCTGCCATCGACCAGGGTCAGGCACCCAGAAAGGTAGGCATAACAAAACAAACCTCACATGGTAAAAAACTAAAACAAAAAAGCGAACAGAGAGGTAGAAACTCCCTACAATCCCAAGGAAACAAGCAAACATCATACTTTACACTTTACTGCCGCGCTGATCGTCCGCGCAGCCCTCCCCGCCCTGAGAGGGGGACGGGGAAGCCCCGGACCTCATCGCGCTGGCTGCCTAGCATCACTTCGTAAGCTAATGTCAACCGGGATAGACGCTTCTCTCAGTTTCCTAGGCGGTGTTTGCCTTGTGTGGCGTTCTCTGCTGTGTGTTGTGTTGTGCGGTCGCCAGGTGTTCCTCATCAGTATCAGGGCTGCATGCGCTTAGGGGCTTCCTTCCCTAAGTGCCCTGTGAGTACTGCTCCTGCGTGACAGGGTTATCTTCCCTGGGGCGTTCGGGAACCATTCCCGTAGAGGTTCTTGCTGCTTGGCATTTGCCTCGCCCTTGGGGCCAGCTGGGGCTTGGGGCCCTTGTTTGGCCCTGGATATGGACTTGTATTGTGCTGGTTATGGCGTCAAGGTGTTGCGCGACCTGCCAACTAAGCGGCGACCGGTTCCTGTTGCCTCTGGGGACGGTGTACTTTTGTGGGGTTTTTCTTTTGTTTTTATTTTCATTGGCTGGTGGTGGTCTGCCTAGTGTGGCTATAATTCCACTGGTAGTATTTGGTGGCCCTCTGCTAGGCCCCCGTCATTGTACACGTTGCAGGGGTTTTCAGTGTTGTCCTCTACCCCTTGTTATTTTTGGGTTTCTTAACCGGTTAGCAACACCTTGCCCGGGCTTCCTGTAGTTGTTACCAAACGGGCCCTGGAAACACCTGTCAGGGCTCGGTGGACCATTGAATGTGTCTTCCGGGTTCCAACCCGTCTTGTACGGGATCATTGGTTACTGTGCCCTTGTCTCCGGGTGACAGTCGCCACTTTTACCTCCGTCATGCTGCCTTTTGGGTCACTGACACCTTGACCCGGAGTCTTGCGAGAGAGATTCTCTGCTTGTTCTCCAGTACTCTCCTGATGTTATTACTGTTCAGAGTACAGGCGGCATCCGTGTTGCAAGCTAGGTTAGGTTGCTGCAACACGCTAGGTTGGTTTCCCACTCAGATACCCCGGAGCCGCCTCGTTTTGGTTAGGTGCTGTTCGCCCCTTTCCCTCCCTGTTCCCGGCTCCTGACTGTCTGCGGGTTTCGGGGTCGGGGCGGGATTTAGTTGGGGCCGAGACTCGGGCGGTTTTGCAGGGCTGCCTCGTTTGGGTAGGGGACGGAGGTTTTCGAGCCTGTTCCTCCTGCCAAGGCTTCTGGGTCTTACCAGCGGCCCTTTCTTGCTGCCTTTCCCATAGACTCTTCCTTTTCTTTAAGGGCGGAGGGCTTGGAGGATGGCTGTGCCCCAGGGCCTCTGTTGCGGGTTCCTGGGGCTGTGTGGGATGCCTGCTAGCAATTCCGGGGTTGTTTGACCCTGCCGGGGTTTTCTGCTTCTGGGCGGAGTTTTTCGCCCATCCAGTCTGCTTGGTTTCCACTTTTGCTGGCGTGTTTTTGTATCTTTTGTGTCGGTCACAGCCCCCTGTTCTGGTGGCCATTTTCTTCTGCCAGTTTCTTGGCGTGGCCACCAGGGCAGTGTTGCGGTTTGTTTACATACACCTGGGTGTGCGAGAGAGCGTCTTGGGTGAGTTTTTTCACCTTTTTTAGGGGTTTTATTCTCCTGTTGTCGTTTCTTTGCTCTTCTGGTGTTTTCTGCCCGTTTTCTGTTCCTCTGGAAACATTTGAGTGTTGATTTTATACCGGGTTTTTTCGTTATGTCTGTTTTGGGTCTGGGCCCTAGGGTTTGGGCTCAGTGTCCCTGTCTGTTATGCTTGCTCCCACACCTTGTCCCTCAGTTTTTGGTCTGTTTTGACCGTTGCCCTGGGGTTTCTGTCTGAGGGCTGTGCTTTGCCTTTCTGTGGTGTATCTCCGCTGGCAAATGTGGTGGTTTGGGCTCCCCCTGGTTCGATTCCAGGTTCCTTTGGGTTCTTTGGTTTCGTTCCAGAGGTTTCTTCGTCTTGGACCCCCTTTGTGGGTTCAGGGGGCTTTGTTTCCTTGTGTGTGAGCCGGCTCTGCCTTCTGAGGTTCCAGGGTCTTCCTGGCTTGCAGACTGATCTTTTTGGGTCGTGGCACATGATGTGGTCGGGCTGGGACTTTGGGGTTTTGTTGTCGAGGTGGACCTTTTGATGCAGTTTGTGCCTTCTTCGCCTGGCCGGCGTGGTGCTCTCTGCCCACTGGTTGGCGGCTTGTAATTTTTTTTCACGTGTATGTGTGCGCATGTACACTGTGTGTGTGTGCACATGTGTATGTGCATATGCACGTGTGTGTAATACACCTTTGTGTGTGTATGTATGTATGTGTATGTACATAATATGTATGTATATGTACATAATATATGTGTAAATGTGTGTATATATGTATGTATACATTTTCTTTCGGAAGGGGCTCTGTTCCTTCGCTGTTGACGGGGCGCTGTGGGAGCAGCTTGCTCTGTTGACTCTCGCATGGTCCCGCAGTTAGTGGGCGCTTTTGGTTGTCTTCCGGCCTCTGGTGGCGGCGGCGGAGGGCTTCTTCCCCTTTGGGAGATTCAGGGCTGGCGGGGTGTTGTTCTTCCCCTGCGCTTCGTCATGTCATCTTAGTGGGTGCGTTGGACGTGGTCGATCCGCCCCATCCTTCTGGGGTTCTTGTATGCTCTATGCAGACATGGGCCTGGCGAATCTGCGGTTCTTCTAGACTTCTCAGGTCTGTGCCCTGGATTCGTTGCCCTCATCGGAGGACTGTTGTCTCCGGTCCGGCTTCTGTTGGGGACGGGTGCCTGGATGGTGGCCCTGGACCTCCAGGTCAATTCTTGGCACGTTCTTCTCCAGTTTTCCGGGACTGGTACAGTTGGTGGTGGGGCTTTAGGCTTGCCGCTTTTGTTACCTTCCCTTGTTTGTTATTGGCACTTAGTGTATTTATGCATCTTTTTCGGATCTTGGTGCCCTGTCTGAGTCTGCTTGGGATTCGGTGTCTGGCCTACTTTGACGGCTGCCTGGTGTGGGCTCCCAGTTGGTCCGCTTGTCTTCTTGCCAGTTGTGTGGTTCTTTCCAGATCACCGGGTTTGGTTTCCTGGTGATCTGGAGGCCATTCCATCTGCATCTGTTTCCAGCCCGGGTTCGGACCTGGCTGGGTCTTGTTTAGGGCTCTTGGGCCGCTCCATGTCTCTCCCCCTCCAGAAGTGTTGCTGCGGCTGTGGTCCCACCTTCGGCAGTTCATGAGGGGGTCCCGGGTGGCTCGGCGTTTGCTCGAGCAGTTGTGCGGGATTCTGAACTTCGACGTGCTGTCTGCCTGCAGGGTCGGGTTTGGCTTCGGCGTCTGTTTGGTTCTTTCGTAGACTCCCCTTCCGCCTCTCTTGCAATCGTTGGGTTCGTTCCTCCGAGGATCTTGTGTTGGTGCTGTGTCACCAGCTTCCTCTTTGGGGTTTTCGGAGTTCTGTGCCTTGGCACTTCCCCGAGCCTTTGCTCGATGTGTTCACAGACGGGTCATCTCTCGGCTGGGGCTTTGTGACCAGTGCTCACCAGGTCGGCCGGGGATGGTGTGGTCTGTCCGTCCGTTAGGCTCACAGCACAGTTCGGGAGTTCGTGGCTGTCTGGTTTGCGTTTCGGAGGGTTCGGGTTACTCGGTGCTCTACCATTCAGCTCCATTTGAACTGTTATCTGGCAGTTCTTTGCCAAAACCACAGGGTTTCTCTTAGGTGTTTAGCTTTAGGGTTGGTCCCTTCGAGTGGCTCGTTTGCTGGATTCTCAGTGTTTGGCTAACTGTGAGGTTCATGTCCGGGGTGTGTCCTACGTCCTGGCGGATAGTTCATTCCTCTGTTAACGGACTGGCCAGTTGTAGCCGACTCGTTTTATTGGCTCTGCAGGCTCTTATTTTGGCTCTTATTTATTGGCTCTTTTTGCTCTTCGTAGGTTGTCTTCTCTTTCACATCGCGTTGTCTTGTCCTTTCTTGGGTTTTCAGGACTACAGTTTTGATGTTTCTTACTGTCACCTCGTTTTGTACAGCGCTGGCGGAGCCGCTCCGGCTTGAGTTCAGGGTGGATGTCACATCTGCCCTGTTTCGTATGCTTTCTCGTGTTTTGTTTCATCTCCGGCCTGCTCTTGCGTTGCCTGAGCTGTCCTGGTCCTTGATTAGGGTGCCTTTTTATCTTTTCCTCAGTCCCTTCGGTTCAGGTTTCTGCTCTTTGGTACTGGTGGTAAGTTTGTACGTTTGCAGCCTTTCTCCGTCCTTCTGGTGACGGTCAAGACGGATGCTTTCTGGAGAGGTTCTTGGGTTATTGGTTTGGCCGGGGGTGCGTCCTGTATTGTCCGGTTGCGCTTTTTGCCGTTACCTGCGTACCGTGTCTGGGGATGCGCTTTGGGTTGATCCGGTTCTCCTCGTTCCCTTTTTCAGGGCTAGGGTCTCCCAGGTCGTCCGCAGAGTTTTTAAGTCTTCCAGCCTGCGGTCTGTCCTTGCGCCTGTGCTGTTCGAATGTTTGCAGCTTTTGCTGCTGTGTTGGTGACGTCTAAGGCTCATTTCGGGCGCAGGGATTTGAAGGTCACACAGATTCTTGGCCGCCCATTCTTTATGCGCGTCTGCTCCTATGCGTTCTTGTTGCCTTGGGTCGCAGGTTGCAGCCTGTTGTCTAGGCTTCGCGTTGCAGAGTTTGTGGCGGCCGCCTCCCGGGTCAGCCCTTTCTTTTCCTCCTCTTTGGGTATGAAGCTCCAGGGAGCCGTAGGGGCTCCCCACAGAAAACCAGCGTTGAATGTAATGAAACACCATTTTCTGGGTGATCCCCGGAGGCTCCCTGGCAACCCTCCCTCCCATCGGTCGGCGTTTTTTTCGCGTTGGTTGAAGCTTAGTTTCTGAACTGATGCTAGGCAGCCAGCACGATGAGGTCCGGGGCTCCCCCTCCCCCCTCTTGGGACGGGGAGGGCTGCGCGGACAATCGGCGCGGCAGTATAGTTGTGATGTTTGCTTGTTAGCTTGGGATTGTAGGGAGTTTCTACCTCTCTGTTTGTTTTTTGTTTTAGTTTTTTACCATGTGGGGTTTGTTTTGTTATGCCTACCTTTCTGGGTGCAAACCCTGGTCGATGGCAGATAAGGAAAACCCCAACCATAAGGGGGTTTTCCCAGGGCCATTGCTCCCTGAAACCTCTCTGAAGGGGCCAGGTTCTGGCGCTGGTCCCTGGTAGGTCTGAACTCCTTAGCTAATGTCCCGGTCTAATATGGCATACATTAGCCTGATAAGCTCCAGGGAGTCTCCAGGGCTCACCCAGAAAATGGCGTTTCATTGCATTCAAAGCTGGGTTTTTTTCCCATCGCGTCCTAGCTGTGGACAGGACTCACGTCCACTACAAAAATATGTGTATAAAATTCATTTTTTGTCCGATCGACCTCGAGATAGTTTCAAAATAAGCGCCTTTAGAATGAGCACAATTTGATACCAAAGTGAAAGATGTAACACGAAACTTGATGTCAGAACACTTGAAAGATTATAAATACGTTTTTGGATCTAAATTTTAAATTATAAAATATTTGTTAAAATTCTATTTATTGTGCTATTATTATGGGACTAGTTTTAAAATGCGCGCCTTTATATTGCAGACAATTTGATACCAAAACGAGCGATGTAACATGAAAATTGATGTCAGAACACTGAAAAGATATAAATAATTTTGATGATGAGCGTCCAAAATTAAAAGATTTGTTAAAATTCCAGTTATTGCTCTATTATTATGAGGCTAGTTTTAAAATGCGCGCCTTTATATTGCGAATAATTTGATACCAAAAGAGAGATGTTACATGAAAATTGATGTTATCAAAATGAACGAGTATACACATTAGGTTGTGGTATGCAAATTGGTGCTCGTTCACGGGTAACTTTAGGCTTTGCTACAGGGAGTCTCGCCAGGCTTTTGGATATTATATGCATATATATCTGCAGGGAATTTAATTGCGAACACAATGATACCAAAACGAACGACGTAGCATGAGAATTAAGGTGAGAAAACTGAAACGAGTATACACATTTAGGCGTTGCTGCACGCTCTCCCGCACTATTAGCCCCATGACGTCAAAGTCTGCGGTGCACGCGTGGCACACGTGATAGTGTTACATTCCAGGTTGTAGAGGGAGAAGGAACCTCCCTCCCCCTTTTTGTCTGTATAATCCTGTGGTGGATCCAAATAACCCCTCCCCTGTTCTAAGAAGTGTGAGGAAATCTGGTATTTGTTAAATAAAATCTTTTTGTAAAATTGTATCCCAAGGTGTATTTCTCATCCCATATAGTTAGAACTGGTGATTATTACTATATAGACCCCTGCACTTCCATTATTTATAAGAAAGTAAGAGCGGGTATTGTTAGCGATACTTTAAGGTACGGCTTTCAGTCGCGTACCTTACAGTGGACAGACAAAATGATGGAAACGCCCATTGTGGTGGAGGCTGGGCGGCTGTGGGCAGCTGCATATCCTTGACACCTCCACCCTAAACAATTTCCTGCCTCCAACTGAATTTGCGCGCCAAGGCAGGACCAGGCATGCTGCTTCCCTCATTGTTTGACTTCCACCAATGAAAGAGAAGCCGGCAGATGGAGAGAGGCCGCTACCAATCACCGCTCTTCTCCTCGTCACGAAACCGGTGACGTAAGCGAGGTAGGCCTGGGGAATGACGTCACATCCCCAGCGGGTGGCAACCAGCTTCCCTCCTCTCCCAAAAGCGTTGGCCCCAGTTTCACATACCTCCCTGCACCTCTTCTCTCTGACTGCACATTTTTATAAGTAAAACATGTAAATTGCTATAACTCCTTCCACAGAGCAGTTACAGACTTTCTTGTAGTCTTATTGAACATCCCTCAGCTTGGGCTTTCTTCAGACTCCACACAAGGGCATATAGTATGGGAACTACTTGTATACAGTGCACCATACACTCTAACATAAACTAGAAAAACTAGCTGGGAATTTTATTCCCTTACAGATGCCTACCTTTAATCTCCTTCTTAAGTCAATGTGCCTCTCTGAGGGGGGCCAGGTTCCAGCTCTGTCCCCGGTAGGCAGGACTCCAGGACTCCATTGACTGAAGCCCCAGACTAATATAGCGAATATCAGTCCTATAGCTCCAGGATCCGAGTTGAATACTCTGAGGCCCTTAACCTCCTTAAGGTTTTGTCCCGTATTTCTTGGGGAGCAGATAGGCGCATGCTCTTCTCTTTACATTCCTCTCTCGGACTGTCAAAACTCGATTATGGTTGCCCTGCTTCTCATCTGCATCTCCTTCTACTCTTCGCCGTCTTGATGCTTTGCACCATTCTGGGTTGCGTCTCAGCTCAGGTGCCTTTTGTTTGACTCCCGCCCTCAGCTTGTATATTGACACTGGCTTCCTATCTCTTCAGGACCGCCGTGATCACTTCTGTCTTTGCTATCTTGCAGGTCTTTACAACATCCTTGCTCTTGCCTCTGTCGTGCCTTGACATTTACCCCTCCTGTCGATCCTGTTCATCTTAACCACCTCCCTCTTTCTGTCCAGTTATCTCGCTTACAGGATTCTCTTTCGATTCGTATTACTGATGTTTCTCCTTGTATTGTTCTGTCCTTTCCACTGTGGAGGGTCCCCCTTCCTAAATTTGGTACATCTCTGACCTGTATCACTAAAGTTTTTACCCTACCTATGGTTCTGAAACACCTTTCCCTTGAACACTTTTCTTCACACTCCCACTCCATTTCCATCTTCACTGATGGGTCTAAGTCTGCAGACGGTGTTAGCTACTCTGTTGTTCTTCATGACCACACTTATATGTGTCGCCTACCTCCGGAGACTAGCGTCTTCACAGCGGAACTTTATGCTATTCTCTATGCTCTTCGTCTCTTGCTTTCTTGTTGTCAGTCTTCCTTTGTGGTTGTCATTGACTCGTAGTGCCCTCATGGCTCTCGGGTCCTTTAATCCGGTCCATCCAGTGGTCGTCGAAATTCAACATTGGCTGTTTCTTATTAACAGTAATTTTAAGTCAGTTGAGTTATGCTTGGTTCCCAGCCATATTGGTGTCTCTTTAAATGAGCATGTGGACGCTGCCGCTAGGGTAGCTGTCCGCTCTTATCCCATCTCCCGTAAAGGTATTCCTTATTCCGACTTTTACCCAGTTATTCATTCCTCCATCCTTACCCGTTGCCAGGCTTGTTGGTCTTCTGTTACTGGTATCAAACTGCATACTCTTAAGAGTAGTGTGTCCTCATGGCCTTCCTCCTACCACTGTAACCGGCGATGGGAAACGGCTCTGGCGAGGTTGCGTATTGGCCATATATGCTTAACTCACGGTCACTTAATGGAGCGCCGCCCTGCTACTTATTGTCCAAATTGCATTGTCCCTCTTATGGTCGTGCATATCCTTGTTGAATGTCCTGACTTCTAGGATTCTTGGTGAATTGGATACTTTTGATATCGTTCGCCTTGTGCGTTTCTGTTATCGTATTGGCATCTTTGGTGATATTTAGCGCCCTCTGATTATTCTGCACATTTGATGGTGCTACATAGCCTTCCCGGTTTGGTGCCTTCTTTTGATAATTACTTACTATAGCTCCAGGAAGCCGAAAAGGCTCCCCCAGAAAAACCAATGATTCTTACATTTAAAATAAAAATAATTTAGAAAAATAATGTGTTGATTTTTAGTGGCCCTAGAATGCATTCTCCATTTATTGCATTGTGAATATGAAAAATTTAGACCAAGGTAAGAACAGATGACATAATAGTGCCTTTTTCGAATGCATTCTGTTCTAGGTTGGGGACTGCCTGTATTATATGTAGTATACAGTATTTGTACTGTAACTTACACCATAGGCATTTAATATACTAATAATATTTTCTTACTGTAAAGTATTACACATTTGCTATTTTAGATTTTTCAATAGTTTAAATAATTTATACCACATTTTGCTAGGTTCTATATGCAACACTTCCATATACTGTATAATGTTTTGCAGAGGCGTAGATAAGAGAAACTCTGCAGCACAACATATTGACAGACGTGTGCTGAGCGCAGAAGCAAGAAAGCTGGCTGAAGAAAAATGGAATAACAAACTTGCATCATTAACATTACAAAGTAAGTAATTTGTTATATAATTTTTATAGGTATAACATCCATCCACTTGGACTGATCAGTAGAACAATTGCCTTGCTTCCTGCAAGGTTGGCAGTCAGCTCCTGATGGTTCAAGTGGTTGGGCTCTCTCCTCATATCCCAGCTCCTTGTCCTCATGTTGCTTCTAAGTACTATACAGTATAGTCATACTGGTTTAGTGCTTGTATTTTGTGGAGGAGCCTCTGGTGGTTCCCTGAAGCTATCATGCTGAGATGACTTCCCTGTACTTAGTCAAATCAGCCATAGACATCCTGTATGGCCTACTGGGGACCAGAGCTGAAACCTGGTCCCCGTCACAGAGGCATAGGGAACGATTTCAGTATGACATTTCTTGGTGCTCCTTTTGCCCTTTAGTTTCTCTTCATTGTGTTTCTTCTGTGTCAGTTCTGGTGGGTTGGTCCTCTTTGTCCTCATTGTTCATTAATTGGCATCTTATGCCTAATGCTGTCATCTCTTACCGCTCAACTTTGACGAAGCCATTGTTGCCAGTGTTCAGTGTCATTACATCTTTTGAATGACATCTCATCACCCACACAAATGTTTGAAGGATTTGTAGAAAATGAATTAAGGGATATACCCATTACATGTAACACAATCAGGAAGAGCATTGACAAACTAAAAGCCCCAGGTGTGGATGGATTTCAATCCAAATTCATGAAGGAACTGGCAGATGCACTATGCATACCACTGAAATGCCTTTTCAGAAAATCCCTGGACCAAGGGATAGTTCCCCCTGGATTGGAGATATACAAATGTTGCCACTACATATTTTCAAAAAAAGGCAGAAAACTACCTTCCAATCAGCTTTACATCACACATCTGCAAGCTCATAGGGAGAATCCTAAGGGAGGGAATCATAAAACATCTCACAGAGAGCAATCTTGTAAAATCAACACAACATGGTTTGTTAAAAATAGATCATGCATTAGAAACCTGCTCACATTTCTGGAAATGGTAACCAGCTAGTCAGACAAAGGACTTCCTGTAAATGTAGCTTACATGGACTTTACTAAAGCTTTTGACAAGGTACCACATGAGAGACTGGCAAGGAAATTACAGACACATGCATTAAATGGTAGAATACTGGAATAGATAAAACGATGGTTAAAACATAAAAACAAAAGGTAGTGCTATATGGGAATGAATCTGACTGGGGAAATGTGCTAAGTTGGGTGTCACAGAGGGGTCCATTTTGGGACCAACCCTTTTTGCATGTACATCAATAACATTGATGAGAATATTACAAACCACATCATCAAATTTGCAGATGACATTAAGATCTATGGTAAAGTCGGAAGTGAAAGTGATATTGAGACATTACAAAGAGATCTACATGAACTCCACAAATGGTCAGATGACTGGCAAATGCTTTTTAATGTCAATAAATGCAAGACCTTGCAGGTGGGGCATAATAATCCATGTGACAACTACCAAATTGACGGCCCTACCTTACAACAGATTGATGAAGAAAAGGACCTTGGAGTCAAAATCCATCCATCACTAAAAGTTGCACAAGTGGGAGCGGCAGTAAAAAAAAAAAGCAAATCAACCCTTGGGAATAATCAAGCGTACCTTTACCTTCAAGGAAAAAAAGTAATCGTTCAATTGTATAAGTTGTTGGTGCACCCTCACCTGGATTATTGCATCCAGGCATGGAGACCTCATCTTTAGAAAGACATAGCTGCTCTGGAGAGGGACAACACTGGACAACAAAAATCACCCCAGAGCTTAGTCATCTCTCATATCAGGGACGTTTGAGGGCCACAGGGCTAACAACACTGCAAACCAGGCATGATAGGGAGGATCTCATCAAAAGTCCCCTTGTCTTTAACAGTCCCCGTAGTGTAGTGGTTAAGATGCTCGCCTGGCGTTTCGCAAGCACTTTGGCCTCGGTTCGTATCCTGGCCAGGGAGGATTTACTGGGTGCAAATCCTTAACTGTAGCCTCTGTTTAACCCTTAAACTGTGCAAAACATCATATGATGTGTGACCTTGAAGGGGGCTATAATTCAAAAAATATTTGAATTACGTAAAAATTACTTAAAAATGTTAAACAAATCTCCAACTTATTGGCTTTAGCTTTGATCTTCTTGTTTTGTGACCCAGTCTGCTGATGATTTACTTCGGCTGCAGGCAGCTCGTGCATTGCAAGATAGGTTTTGGTTGTTGCAACGAGCACGGGTTGTCGCTTCCCCGGATGCGTATGGACTCCTGGCCATGGACGTCTTCGAGTCGGCGTGGTCTAGGCATCGCCCATTTTATATGGCGCCCTTACCCACCTGCGAGGCATTCACGGTGGATGCTTTTCGGCAGGACTGGTCGAGGTGAGGGTACCTGTTCCTCTTCTCCAGGTCCAGCTGTTGCTTCGGATTCTGGCTCGGTTGCAGCCCATTCCCACGAGAGCAGTCCTTATGATTCCTTGGTGGCCCGCCCAGTTTTATTTTCAGGCGCTGCTTGATAGGTGTCCGAACCCGGGGCGTTTTCCTGCGACTCCGCCTCTTTCGGCAGGTCGGATCAGTCCTGTATGTGACTGGTTCAGCCTTCTCCTCGCCTCTTCGCGTCTGGTATTTTGACGCGGGTATCACCATCTCTGTGGTGATCAGGTGGTTTTGTTGACGGTGTCCCACCTGCGAGCTTCGTCTTGGCGAAAGTATAACGTTCCTGGTGTTTCTATGCAATTTTTCTTGCTCTTCGTAGGTTGTCTTCTCTTTCGCATCAGATTGTCTTGTCCTTTCTTGGGTTTTCAGAACTACAGTTATTTGATGTTTCTTACTGTCGCCTCGTTTTGTGTGGCGGAGGCACACCGGCTTGCGTTCGGGGTAGACGTCACATCTGCCCCGTTTCATACGCTTTCTCGTGTTTTGTTTCACCTCCGGCCTGCTCATGCATCGTCTGAGCCATCCTGGTCCTTAATCAGGGTGCCTTCTTATCTTCTTATCAGTTTGAGGTAGCCCCTTCGGTTCAGGTTCTGCTTTTTGGTACTGGTGGTAGGTTTGTACGTTTGCAGCCTTTTTCCGTCCTGACGACGGTTGAGACGGCTGCTTTCTGGAGGGGTTTTTGGGTTATTGATGCTTGATTGGTTTCGCCGGGGGTGCGTCCTGTGTTGTCCGGTTGCGCTTTTTACCGTTACCAGCGTACCGTGTCTGGGGATGCACTTTGGTTTGATCCAGTTCCCCTCATTCCCTGTTTTCAGGGCTCGGGTCTCCCAGGTCGTCCGCAGAGTTTTTCAGTCTTCCAGCCTGCAGTCTGTCCTTGCGCCCATGCTGTTCGGACGTTTGCAGCTTTTGCTGCTGTGTTGGGACGTCTAGGGCTCATTTCGGGCGCAGGGATTTGAAAGTCGCACAGGTTCTTGGCCGCCCATTCTTTGTGCGTCTGCTCCTGTGCGCTCTTGTTGCCTTGGCTCGCAGGTTGCGACCTGTTGTCTCGGCTTTGCGTTGCAGAGTTTGTGGCGGCCGCCTCCCGGGTTAGCCCTTTCTTTTCCTTCTCTTTGAGTATGAAGCTCCAGGGAGCCGTAGAGGCTCCCCCACAGAAAACCAGCGTTGAATGTAATGAAACGCCATTTTCTGGGTGAGCCCCGGAGGCTCCCTGGCAACCCTCCCTCCCACCGGTCGGCGGTTTTTTCACGTTGGTTGAAGCTTAGCTTCCAAACTGAAGCTTGGCAGCCGGCGCGGTAGGTCCGGGGCTTCCCCCTCCCCCTCTCGGGGCGGGGAGGGCTGCGCGGACGATCGGCGCAGCAGTAAAGTGTGATGTTTGCTTGTTTGCTTGTTTCCTTGTGATTGTAGGGAGTTTCTACCTCTCTGTTCGGTTTTTGGTTTAGTTTAGTTTTCTTTTTTCTTTTTTACCATATGGGTTTGTTTTGTTATGCCTACCTTTCTGGGTGCCTAACCCCGGTCGATGGCAGATAAGGAAAACCCCAACCACAAAGGGGTTTTCCAGGGCCAATGCTCTCTGAAACCTCTCTGAAGGGGCCAGGTTCTGGCGCTGGTCCCTGGTAGGTCTGAACTCCTTAGCTAATGTCCCGGCCTAATATAACATACATTAGCCCGATAAGCTCCAGGGAGCCTCCGGGGCTCACCCAGAAAATGGCGTTTCATTACATTCAATGCTGGGTTTTTTTAACATAAAAGTAATTACATATTATATATCACGCCATAGGTCCCAAGAAAACAGTGGTAAACTTCAACTTAAGAAAATAGTTGTCAGTAGAGGCAGTCTCTTCCTCATTAAGAAAATGTGTAAAGTATGGGAAGAACTGCAAAGTTTTGTTGAAAAAACTCGTCCAGATAAAGCTGTAGCAGGCCGTTGCATTGACCTTTTTAATGACAATATGATGTCTCACTACAGCCAAGTGTTAAAATGTAGGGAAAAACAAGTGTCATTAGACAGATTCTTAGTAAGACAATCAATCAGTGAGCCACAACTTGGTCCTAGTGGTATGCCTGCAAAACGTAGGAGAGAGAGAGAGAGAGAGTACCCCAGAGAAGTCATCACTGCCTGATGTTATAATGGAAGGAGATTACCCCTTCTAAACACTAACACCTCTAGATAGCACGCAGGACTCGTAATTCTGTGGCACGGGTTCGATTCCCGCACGAGGCAGAAACAAATGAGCAAAGTTTCTTTCACCCTGAATGCTCCTGTTACCTAGCAGTAAATAGGTACCTGGGAGTTAGTCAGCTGTCACGGGCTGCTTCCTGGGGTGTGTGTGTGTGTGGGTGGTGTGAAAAAAAAAAAAAAATAGTTAGTGTAGTTAGTAAACAATTGATTGACAGTTGAGAGGCGGGCCGAAAGAGCAAAGCTCAACCCCCGCAAACACAACTAGGTGAAAAAACCTCTCCTCCTTCCCCCCTCCTTACTGTCTTCCATATGCCAACAAGAATCATCAATAAAGGTGAACTATAACTTGCACATACTATAGTACAAAATACAGTATGTGTGAGTATTATGTATGAAATGTATTTTGAAGTAAATATTTTTGGGAGTGTGGAAAGGAATAATTCATTTTACATAATTTCTTATGGAAAAATTTGTCTCGAGTTACTAATTTTCAAGTTATGACCCGTCTCTGGAAACGGATTAAATTTGTAAATGGAGGGGCCCTTGTATATAACTATGATACTGTTCAAATAATACTAAATAAATAATTAATACCCTGTCTTTTGCCCAGTTTTTTCTGAGTAATTACCACCATAAACCTGTCTATTTTAACACTCCCTCTTGTTATGACCAGTAGGAGACAGTTAGAGAAGATCCATGCTCTATCGGGTGTTGAAAGTATCACTGGCCCTGGTGGGTATTTATGATTTTCCTTTGGCAGTGAAAATTTGCCTAAGGGATTGACAGAGTGCCCTGATTGAAAAGAAATGTTTCATATCCTCTAAATACTTTTCTTTTTTTCTTTTTAGCTGTGCAGCGGCCTCAGAGTAGCAAGTCGAGATTGCCTTTCTCTTACAATTTGGTCTCCCCTGTTGGTCCATTAGCTGCTTTTACCACCAAGATGAACACTCACATGGTCAATAAAGATGGCTATAATGCTCCACATGCTTTGTAAAGGATCAAACTGGGCTCCTATATATAATCTATTGAAGTAAAATACTGTAAACAGTTTCTCAGGGTGTCTCAATAAATTGATGTCATTTGTGAACTCACAAACTTAATCATACAGTATTTTTTTATTAAATGAAATTTCCATATACAGTATAGTATTTGAATAATTTTTTTAAAGTAAAAATTACTGTACACAAAAGGGATGATATATTTTACTGTAATATTACAAGATTAGCTACTGTATTTGAAAAAACCAGCGTTGAATGTAATGAAACGCCATTTTCTGGGTGAGTCCCAGAGGCTCCCCAGAGCTGTCCCAGGCTGATATGCTAATGTTAGACTTTGGCATCAGTCATGTGTATGGAGTTCTTAGGCCTACTGGGGACCACGACCAGAGCCGGACCCCCTCAGAGAGGCAAGGGAAGCAATGGCCTATAGAAACCCCCGTGTGGTTGGAAGCATTCTATGTCTGCCATCGACCAGATCAGGCACCTAGAAAGGTAAGCGCCCCAAAACAAACCCCTATTCTGGTTAAAATTGCTACCAAATGCCAAACTAGTGGATAGAACTCCCCAACAGAAAACGAGCAAACTAATATGATGTCACATGTCGCCGCGCCGCTGTCTGCGCAGCTCCCTCCCCCCCCCCTCACCGGGAGGGGGAAGGGGAAGGGGGAGCCCCAGATCCTTCACTCCGGCTACCCACACCTCAGTTCTGAGGCTGGATGTCAAAAAACACGAAAAACCGCCGACCGGAGGGAGGGAGGGAGGGATGCCAGGGAGCCTCCTGGACTCGCCCAGAAAATGGCGTTTCTTTACATTCAACGCTGGTTTTCTGGGGGGAGCCCCGTCGGCTCCCCAGAGCTAACTACCCACAGACGGAAAAAGAGGGACTTACCCGGGAGGTGGTCGTTGCTCACTCCTCAACTCAAAGTAGAGACAACTGGCTGCAACCGCCGACCCAAAGCAACACAGGCCCGACAGAGCCCAGGGACATTCACGAGGTAACGAGCAGCCAGGACCCTGTTTGACCGCCAAAAACCCCGTGCCTGAATAACCAACCCCAAAGAGCCAAGGACCGCATCGAACCCCCCATGATTCAGGCAGTGAACCACAGGAGAGCAGTCCGAATGGAGCCGAATCGTCGATCCGCGGGCGACCTGAATCCTCCGAAGAGCAGACCACACCACCGAGAACTCCCGCGCTGTGCTGTGGGCTCGATGGAATGACGGATCCCAACGCCCCTGGCCGGCCTGGTGAGGACTGGTCACAAAACCCCAGCCAAGAGACGAAGCGTTCGTGAACACATTGAACGAGGGCTCGGGTAGGCTCCAAGGCACTGAACCCCGAAAAATCCGAAGAGGAAGCCGGCGACTCAGCAGCTGACGCAATGCCCCTGGGGGTCGAACCCAGTGATCGCGAGAGAGGCGGAAGGGACGACCACGAAGGAACCAGAACAACCGACGAAACCAAACCCGACCCAGTGGGTAGACTAACATCGCGAATTTAGGCTCCCGCACAGCCCCTTGGGCAACCGCCAGGTGACCCGAGGGGCCCAGCAGAAACAGGCGAAGGCGGGACCGCAGCCGCAGGAGAGACTCTTGAGGGAGAGACAAGGAAGCAGTCCGAGAGTCCCAAACGAGACCCAGCCAAGTCCAAACGTGAGAGGGGACCAGATGGGACGTCCTCCAGTTCACCAAGAACCCGAACCCGGCAAGCTGGGAAAGAACCAAATTCCAGGCTAACTAGCAAGCCGACCAGCTCGGAGCCCAAACCAGCCAGTCTTCGAGGTAGGCCAACACCTGTACACCTAAGAGACGCAAACAGGCCACCACGACCCACGTAAGGCGTGTGAACACGCGAGGTGCCAGGTTCAACCCAAACGGGAGACAACCAAAGTGGTATCTTAGACGCCCGACAACAAAACCGAGCCAGTCCCAGAACCTCGGATGAATCAGGACATGCCAATAAGCATTCCGGAGGTCCAGGGACACCATCCAAGCATCCGGTTCCAAGAGGAGCCGAACCTGGGACAGCGTAGTCATCCGAAAGGAGGGGCAATGAACCCAGGGGTTCAGACGGGACAAGTCCAGAATGAACCGCAGGTCTGCACAATCCCGTTTCGGGACCAGAAACAGACGGAAAACCCATATGAGGGACTTTGTCATTTCGACCACACCCAAGCAAACCCACTCCAAGACAACCCAACAGAGTGCAGGGGAAGAAACCAGCCCTGCCAGCCCCGACCCTCCCCCCCCCCCCAAAGAGGTGGGGGGGGGGCACCCAATGCCACCGCAGGCTGACAGGCACGACCCGAAATGCTCATGAATCGTGGGACCAGGCGTGAGCGAACAGCGCAAGCCTCCCCCCATCACCCCATCAATGACACAAACTGCGAAAGGGCCGGCACCCCTTACGAGACCCATAACCCCACACAGTGCGATCACTGCGCCGACCTGAAGAGGGTGGGTCCAAAGAAGCTGCCGAACCCGAACCTGACACCAGTGGCCTACCACAACGAGAGGAACCCCAAGCCCTGGCATGACCCCTCCAGGAAGACCCCCCACAGGACTCCCGGAGGACCAGTAAGTCCGACATCGAGCGACAAGCAGACGAAGCAGTCTGGATAAACTGCGCCACGGCAGACGCCTCAAACAGAAGAGGACAAAAAAGCGACGACAACCTAAGAGCCAGGGCCCAAGCAGATTCCATGGAGGAACCCAGCACCGCCTGCCGACACACGAGCCGGGAAGCATAGAACAGGGAAACCACATCCCGCAAAATTGACGCTAAAAGCTTCAACAAGCTTCAAGCCGCCGAGGACAAGGCGAAGGATCCAAGGACGGACCCAAGCGCCCTCACATCCTCCACGAGCCAATCTGAGGACAGCTCCAGGAGGGAAAAGAACCACAAGGCCGAAACCAAAAGGCCCCAGGCGCACAAGTCCTCCTCAACAAGTGTCGCCGAAAGGGAGGGAACCTGCACTTGGAGCTGAACAACGCCAACATTACGTGGAAGGGCAGGGGCAAACAAGCACTCATTCAGATACTCAAGATCGTCCCTCAGGAAAACCTGAACCTCCGTGGAAGCTTCCCACCACTCCAGCGTGCAGGATCGACAGAAGGAATGTCAGGCATCCAAAACAAACAAGGGGCAGTCCGCTAGCCAGGAAGACTCTGGAACCTCGTAACGGAGCCAGAAAGGGAACGAAGTCCCAAACCTGAATTCCATGGAATCCATCTCCGAGGCATAATCTGGGTCACACAGGAGGTATGCTACATGGACTGCCCGCACCACACCAAGTTGGATGCGATAAGCCAAAAACCTCCGGAAAGACGGAACCGACGCACCCGGGGGAACACGGAACCGAACCCGGGGAGGGGCCGACACCAAATCCAACTCGTACGCAGAGGGGGGGGGAAAGAAAACCCCACTCCTTGCAACCGTAAGCTCAGAGGGAATAAAAGCCCAGGCGGGGTCTAGCAGGGCCCAAGGACCCAAAGTCAGCCCCTAGGTCCCCCACAGCAGGACCCGGGGCCGAGTCATCTCCCCAAGCACCGACCCCACAAGACAAGGACAATGCAGCTGCAGAAGCCAGAAGGAAGGGGGCCCAGTGGTCAGACTCAGAAGCTTTGGCCGGGAGACAAGACTCGAAAGCCTCAGCCGCCTCCCCAGAAAGGGCATCCCCCAAAGCTGCCCGAGTCTCAAGATCAAGTAACCCCTGCGAACCCCAAGGAACAGAGCCGGCCGCTATGTCAGGAAAACGAAGCTGCGCAGCACCCTGTGCCCCTACCAGTGCAAACTGCCACTTACCCGCAGGTAACAAGGGAGAACAGAACACCCAAGAGCCCAACGGGCGGCTGAAAAACCGAACGGTAGAACAGATCAGCAAGGGCAGGTCCCAAGGAGCCTGAGGAAGGTGGCCCCAAGCTCTAAAGGCAGTACTTACAGGGCACCTAGGGAAGGCAGCCCTAGACGCATGTAGCCCGAGTACTGAAGATAACTCCTGGCTCTTGCACCTTTGGAAAAACAAACACCACACACAAAGCACAGTGCTGTAAAGACACTGGAGCCAGAGCATACGACCTCTGCCTATAGCATCAGCCTCAAGAACTGATGTGTGGGTAGCCGGCATGAAGGGTCTGGGGCTCCCCCTTCCCCCTCCCGGGGAGTGGGGAGCTACACAGACAGTTGCGTGGCGACGTGTGACGTCATACTAGTTTGCTCGTTTTCTGTTGGGGAGTTCTATCCACTAGTTCGGCTTTTGGTAGCAATTTTAACCAGAATAGGGGTTTGTTTTGGGGGCACTTACCTTTCTGGGTGCCTGATCCGGTCGATGGCAGACATAGAATGCTTCCAACCACATGGGAGTTTCTATAGGCCATTGCTCCCCTTGCCTCTCTGAGGGGGCCTGGTTCTGGCCGTGGTCCCCGGTAGGCCTAAGAACTCCATACACATGACTGATGCCAAAGTCTGACATTAGCATATCAGCCTGGGATAGCTCGGGGAGCCGACGGGGCTCCCCCCAGAAATGCCGTATTTGCCTGGGTAAAAGATGCATCCTCACATAAGATGCACCCCCTATTTTACAAAGATATTTTGTGGAGCAAAACTATTATAGTATGTTTCATCATACATTTATTGAAAGATATTTTAAAGTGATTTTTGTACATAACTCTTACCTCCTCTAAGATCGGCTCTGTATTTGTTTATATTTTGGGCAAGAGAATTGCTATACAGGATGTAAAACTTGTATTTCTGGATGTGTTGCCGCATCAGGCCACCAGGACAGCACTCCCAGTGGTGGCACACCATCGCAGTGCTCTGGTTTTGTTATTACTCACTCATTGCAAATGGCTGACAGGCAGATGAAAGTTGAACATAACTTTCAAATTTCTAGGAGCATTTTTCATTTAGATCTTGAATATATGTTTCTTTAAAGATAAAAAATAAATAATGTATGACATATATCAAGCATGGGTTATGTATGCTGGGTAAGGAAGCAAGATGATGCGAGCTTCACTCATAACTGCTGATGTATGGTAAGCAATTTTTCGTAAGTTGTGATAACAGACTGTGATAAATCGGCTTGTTTTCAGTATTGTATTACTG